CGGTATGCAAATGCCTGCGACGGTGCCAGACTGGGTTCCAAGCTAATCCCGGGATGAGTATGTTCCGTGCTGTGAGCAGATCGATGAACGACCCTTCCACGGAAATAAATTTGACATAATATTGCATGCCTGTCAGTATTGAAACATCACTTTCAACTGGCTGCATGCCTATATACTTCATCCACATTTTCGTGAATTTTACTGAATGACCTAGTTCTTACGACGTTGAGGATAATTAGTACAAGTCTGGAACACTAACAGGCTCTATGGATTACAGGGCCTCCCACTGTGACCTGAGTCAATACACTTTATCAATACTACTCTTCCTCTGAGAGGCCCTCTTAACATGATAAGTCAAAAAAACTAGCTGTTAAATCTGGCTCTGCTAGGCAACACTAAAGGAATGCACTCGGCTTTGCACACAGCATTGTTTGGTTTGACTGGCTGACATATCTCAGTATGGTTCAAACCATAACCCCTCCTATAGCTTCGAAGATATAAAAAGATGTAAACGTCTGCTGGGTTGGAAGTAGACAAGGAAATAAGAAGTAAAGGGCGTAATCTGACGTCCAAAAGCAGGACCAATTCAACTAGGACTAGGATTGTGATAAAATTGCTTGGAGTTTGCACGTCTCGCGGGGGAAGTATCAGGTCAAGACCATACTCGCATTTCGTCCATCAAACGTGAATTCGCTCATAGTGAAATCTGAAGTATTTCGTTTCCCGTTAAAACAAATCTGGACAGTGGTGGCGGTAGTAGGGCGCTCACCCATTGCATTACGGGACTTACTCGTCCGTTCCTGCCTTAGGACTCAGTCTTGAGCCTTGCTAGCAGCCACACAGCCGTTTATCTATGAAAGTATACAAGGAAAAAGGTGCGCCAACGTACAAAGGGGTGTAAATCCAAGGATTGAGGATTACCGGAAGAAGATCAGATATGCACAGTCCCTTGATTTACACATTCCCTTGTGCGTCAGTGTGCCATCTCTGTTTTATCCTGCTTTTATTAGACTTTCTAGATCGAATAGACTGTACATTACAAACTATTAACCCGCAGTTATTCACCTTAAGCGGTGTAAAATGCACACCATAGATATCTAGATTCTCCTAAGTTTCGGGTGAACAGATCTAACTGCTAGGTAGGCCATGAACCTAAAGCGCTTCTCACTGGTAGTGCAGTGGAGGCGAAATTGAAGACAGCGGTAGTGGCTGTGATAGCATCCGGAAGGCAGACATAATAAATGTAAGAATGGTTTCTTCTACAAGGTTGTATCCGGCCCATAATAATCCCTGCTAATATTTGGTTCGGCATTCGTGAAGGTGACATTTTTTTTCTTAAATTCTGTTCAGTTATCGGAAGGCCTGCATGGTATTTTGACTGATGTCAGGCATAATACATCTAAGAATTGTTTCTTCTACAAGGTTGTATCCGGCCCATAGTAATTCCTGTCAGCCGCCCAATATTTGGTTTGGTATTCGTCAAGGTGGCATTTCGCCTTCAATTTTGTTCAGTTATCAAAAAAAGGCCTACATTGGATTTTGACCGATGTCAACTACGCTGACGATATC